ATGTCCTAATTCGTGATAAAATATTCACGACTCCAGTTTTGAGGAAACATGCCTAAGTAGCCGGGCTTACTGACACTCGGTCATGTTCTCAAACCCTTCTTACATTCTTCTGTATCAAATAGCTCCTTGTCCCCCATTCTATTATTGTTGTCGTTTCATTTGTTCAATGTCAACAAGAAACAACCACTGGCCCTCTCCCATGAAGGGGTCTATTGCATCCAGCCCAATCCACTACCCGACCAAATTCCTCTTCTTGCCCCTTAGATCTGTACCCCGGACAGCGCCTTCCTTGCTATAAGCATAGTAAGCAAAGGCGGGCATCATCAGCATTGCTCTCTTCCCCATCTCCCCGTGGGCTATCATTGTTTGGCTTATTTGATTTTGGCCCTTATACACCTCGAAATTGGATGGGCCTAAGCGATTGAACTTTCATCCTTTTTGTGCGCGAGCAGGTTCTTCCGAGCGGCTTAATTGAGATCTGATTTGCTCCCTTTTTTTGTGTATTGGTGATTTCCCATTGCCTTGTTTTGCGACTTGCTTTGTGTCCGTCCGTTTCCAGTGATTGCTCTCTCCCTTCCCTTAGAAGACTGATTGATCAATTGATCGAGTGGTGGGGGTCCGATAGAAGACGTGCTATGAACACAGCACAGCGCAGCAAAGCCGAGCAAGTAGACAATTGATACCAGAACACTGCATTGCCTCTAACCTGTCCCTTGTGATTGTAGTATATATAGTGGAAGGGTTGAAGAGTGAGTGGTCTGTGTACTAGACTGCCGAGTAACTGTCCTATCCTCGGATACCAGATCAGGCTATCGTTGATAACAGGGTCTGATGTGTTGGTAGCCAGCCGACTCATGTGGTGGTTACCTGCACCATTACCCTATTAGGTCTGTAGTACATCAAGATAATTCCCTTAGCTTCTAGGCAAGTTGCTCGGAAGTCGGATAGGGGAAGTAGTCGACCCCTGATGTCATGTCTGACCTCGGAGCAGATAGATATCTACCAGTCAATGCAGAGTACCGTTTTATTCAGGAATCCGTGCTATGGTATTGGCATAAGGTGACCGCTAGGAGTTAGAGCATCTCGCATAGTGGTTGACTAATTTAAATGATACTACTCTGGGCCCAGGTATTTAGAGGACTCAGCTGAAGTAGCTCCAAATGACCATGTTGCATAGAAGGACTGCACCCGAGGATAGTGTCCAGGCAGGCACACCATATGAAAAGGGAAAGTTGGAAGAGGGCACCAGAAAGAATAACAGTAGCAAAGCAAAGCAAAGCAAAGCAAAGCAAAGCAAAGCAAAGCAAAGCAAAGCAAAGCAAAGCAAAGCAAAGAAAGACCAGATCAGCGTGAAAGAGGCCTTGATTTTGCAAGCATATGAGGGGCAATTATTTAGAATAGAGATAGAGGATCACCGGTTTTGAAAACGCAAAGTGAGCAGAAAAACAAACGAAAAAAGCAAAAAGCAGGAAAGTTAGAAGCAAACCTCCAAGAACGCCCCTGTGAATGCAATTTTTGTTTCCACCAGTGAAAAAGAAGAAGAAAGCAACCTGGAACCGAGTTCATCATCCCGCATCTGCATTGATCCAATTGCTGAAAAGGCGAAGAAGGATGTTCAAAGCAAAAACAGAGGACAACGAGGCCGCCGCCGGATAACGCCAATGATACCTGATCTCATGATAGGAGTAAAAAGAAGAAAACAAATGAGAAGTCCACCAAGCACCGAAATAATAGGAAGATTCTTCGTTATAGACGATAAGAAGAGAGGATGAGCGTGATCTTGCGTAAGAGTGACTCTTGTGTGCTGGCCTATTGCTTATTGCTGGGAACAACACATGTCAACTGGGAGGTGAGTTGAGCGTACTGAAGCACACTGTGGGATTTGGCGCGAAAAAGGTATGAGTGGCCGTTGCACGGATTTACTCTGCCTTGCCTTGAGTGACTTTAGCTGCTTGGATGGCCGACATCTTCTGAGTCCACCCTTGCGTAGGCTGGGGTTTCTTGACGGTGCGGAGGTCGTCGGTGGAGAAGCCTGATATGCGCATATTATACTGGCGTTCAAGGACGAGCTGCAGATCGCGGATCTCCAGGGTTGAAGAGGGTCGCAGCTTGGCGATCCGGCATGCGGAGGTGACGACGTCGTCCACAAAGTCGTCTGCCATCTGGAGGATGAACTGTCCAAGATTGGTCAGCGACTCGTTGTTATCAAGAGCAAGTCGCGCAGCGACGGGGTGTTCTCTCTTACCTCTTCTGCATCTGGAGTCAAGCCTTCACCCTCTCCACCACCAGTGACTTGGCGAACTAGGATATCGAGCATCTTCTTGCTCAATACTCTCTGACCCTCACCCTCAAGGACATATCCAGGGTGCTTTTGAATCGCAGGCTGGTTCATCACGCCTACCGCCGCGTGGCTAGGGCCGCCAGACAGCGTAGGGCGCGCCGGTGCCATGTTCACTGGTTCTGGGGTAGGCACATTCAGGTTTTTGGGGATGGGCATAGTGTGTGTACGTGCTGGGTTTTCGGTAGAACGGTTGGAGTTGTAACCTTGCGGATGTGCGTGAGGATTGGCAGCTGCTTGATTCATGTTCTGCTGCTGAGGCACGTTGTTGGTGTTGATGTTGTTGTTGGAGTAGTTCTGGGCAGCCTGGGCCATAGCAGCCTGCTGCGACAACGGGCGGGGCGGTCCCTGGATCATTGTCTGAGATGTCGGGGTAGGAGTGGAAACGTCCGGGACAGGACCTGGGACCGGATTGAAAGGTACCTGTGAGCCAGGTGGTCCTGGCTGCTGCTGAACCGGAGGTGAGATTTGTTGTGGAAGAGGCGGTTGCTGGTTGGGTGGTTGCTGAGGAACAGGGCCAACGGCAGGTGCGGGACCGGGACCGGGAACTGTGGGTGCCTGACCTGGTTGAGAAGTAGATGGAGACATCGCGGTATGTCCAGCCTGGTTGCGCGCAGCGTTGACGGCCGAGTTGATGGTATGTGGGGCGGGGGTGGGAGCTTGTCCAGGGTGAATTTGTCCAGGAACACTTGCTGGAGCTGGGCTCGGGCCAGTCGGCGCCGGCGCCGGCGCTGTTCCTGGTTGAGGATGTTGCTGAGCAGAAACATGCTGCTGAACGCCAGCCCTCTGTTGCTGTGCCTTGAATGACTCTTGCTGTTCTTTGAACTTAGAGAGGAAGTCGCTCCCCTCACGGTACAGCTTCTCTGCCGCCAACTGGCGGCTCTTGAATTCTCCCACCTCTTCCTGTGTCATATTTCCCGCGCCCTGGCGTTGGGTGAATTGTTGACGGATATCCGCGATGCGAACCCGTCCGATCTCCTGCTTCTGTAAAGCGATCCCATAGCGAAGCTTGGCCTCGGGCAGCCACGTCTGCGCCTGTTCGTTGCTAATATTGGGGGGAAGAAAGAACTGCAGACTGTTGACTTTCTGCTGGATTTGCGGGAGGAGTTGATTGAAGGTCTGAGGGTTCACAGACTGCGTCCGTTGTACTGGCTGGCCTGGCTGGCCCGGTTGCCCAGGCTGCGCCGGGTTTGTTGCTTGCATTTGCTGATGCTGGAGCTGGCGACTCTGTTGAAAGGCGCGCATGCCTTTCATGAGGGTCTGGGAGATTTGGGCGAGCCGTGCATGAGCCTGCTGGTACTCCGAAGTTTGCGGATCGCGGCCGTTGAGAAGTTCCCACAGGTTTCGAACCAACTGAGTATGCTGTGCCTTCTGCTGATCATTCAAATGAGGGAGTTTCTGAACTTGATCCGTTCGGATAAGATTCGAGTGCTGCGGCACCATGGGCTGCTGCTGAGTTGCCGGGCCCTGCACCTGCGCCTGCGCCTGAACTTGAGCCTGCGCATGGGCTTGAGCAGCCTGCGCATGAGCCTGTGAATTATCCATGGCTATGTATACTGTTTCCCTCCAGCTAGGTAGGCGTGGTGATGAGGCCGTTTGTCGAAAAGATGGACTCGGGGGATGTAACGGTTCGAGGAAACCGGCTAGAAGTGCGGCGGGAGGCACGCGTCGTTCGGGTGCCGATATAGCTGTGGTGGCTATGGAGTTGGCGACGATCTAAACGAGTGCAATGAGGAAATGAAAGTACGATGAGTGAACAGCTGGCAGCAGAGACAGTTGCTGAAAAGAGATATATAAGCAGTTGAGGTGGAAGATAATGAGCAGCGGGAGAGGCAGAGGTCAGAAGAAGACAAGCCGGGGATGATTGTGGCGGGTCGGAGAATGCCTCAGGCTTCATTCATTCGCATACCCTGACTTCCTTTCCGGCAGGCGGTCGTGATATTGAACTGGAACTTGGAACGATATTGATACGACTATCAATCGCGTTACACTGGAATTCTACAGTTTTATCTGGAAAAATCAATCCTTGATCTATTGGTGACTTCATTATGGCAGCAATGCACACATTTTAGTGGTGATGAGGCGGAACAAGCCTCATTAAGGTTCATTGTAGCGGTTACTCGAAGCATTGAGGTCACGAATCACCAAGAGCAACAAGCAAATATGCAATATTCCACGGCATGAGATTATATAGCTTGCATCTCCGTTGTCGGGAAAGGGGAAATGAGAGACGGCTGAGACAACTTCAGGTAAGACCACGAGACCCGACCAATCTCTTAGTCTTCTCAGAAAACGAGGCAGGAAACTTCGCTGATCTCAGTCTGAAATGAGTGTCTTCACGTATGGCTGGATAACTTCATCGGCGACCGCAAGCTGCCTGATGTAGTTCGCCGGAGTCGTGAAAGAGCCCTAGAGTAAGTGGTGCCAGGGTCTAAATGAGCCATGCCACTTCTGCGCAATACAACATGGCGCATTCTTGCTACTGCATGGTAGCTCAACTCATCAGCGCTTGCTCGGATGTGCCCACACCTTGATTCAGTCGGATCGGTTGAAGGAGAGCCAAGAGCAGCATTTGACTGAGATGAAAACTATCAGACCAGCACTGGTTCTGCTGGAAATGGGTGCAAGATGATGGATGGTAGTATCGGGTTCTGCGTTGTTTTCAGCCCAGCAACCCACCAAGATCCCGTTCCATCCCATTGACCCGATCTTCTAGCGTTCGCTTTCTTCTCTCTAATTCTCGGATCTCCTCCATTTCCCGGGCCAGATCAGCATCTGTGACGTCGGCCACCTCAGGTTGCAGTGTTTCTCCAGTATCGTAATCATCATAGTCATCACCGTAGGAGTGGCTCATCTGCTCCAGCTCGGCAGCGTTGCGGGCCACGCGCTCTTCCAAATCTATAATTGAGTCCGTGATCAATTGGTGACGATAGCGAAGACTTGCGATCTTTTCGTGTGCGCCAGCGACCGGGCTACCCCATTAAGTCAGACAGTTATCATTAGACGAGGGCAGGAAGGGGGAGCTTACTAGACATTGCAAAGGATCTCTGCGCCGCGAAGCAAGACATCGACGTTGACTTCCCCGCGCGGACCCCGCCCCGCGGAGCGCTTGATCTCCTCCATCATATCTGAGCCTAGCACTCTGGCTACAGCGGACTGATTTTTGTTGTTTCTGGCCGAATAAATCCGACTCGCCATAGACTCCTTCTCTGTTTCTTGTGGGAACTGCGTGCCGCGGCGAGTAACTCGTCGCTGCGCCGAGCTGACTGGCTTCACCGAGGGATCAGTCTGGAATAAAGCCCGTTCATGAGCTTCCGTGTCGCGAATTAGGGAGGTGATGTCATGAGAGCCCAAAAGAGCATTGGTGAACATTCGCGGAGGTGGAAAGCTGGAACGACAGCGGATCAGCAAGCTGGTACTGTACGAGGTTGTCCGGGTCGGGGTCTCACGGAAGTTCTGCAATAGCATTTGAGGAGAGCATGATTTGCTCAAGGTGGCTTTCAAGAAGCGACATGGTGAGCATAGACTGAGCGACGAGCATAGACTGTAAGATAATAGTTGAGAAATGGGTGGATATACAACAAGAACCTGGGCGGTATTTTCCGATAAGATCAATCATTCATGAAGGTGGTTGTTGTTGTTCGCGGTACTCCGTAAACATGCCAAGATGATTTCCAGCTGTTTCTGCCTCAAATACCAGGCCACGAGAGTGGCAATGCAAGCTAACTTAACCTGGTTATCCATTTCTCCCCGACTCTCCTCCTACAACTACTAAGTTACTACGGAGTACTGACGAACGTGAACTCACTGTACAATCCAAGCAACCAGCCAACCCACATCAAAGGTTGACACCGGAAACTCCCGGATTCTTTCTCAGTGAGTTGGGCTACAGCTCTATCCCTCCAGAGCCAATTGACTCTGTACTGTATTCAATTGAACCGGACTGACTGACCAGGCGCCAGGCGCACGCGCAAGCTAGGTAGCTCGTCACTCCAGCTGACCCCCCCGACCGGTAAGACCGAACCTGACTAAGCTGCCCTGGGCTGCTTCTCTCGCTGTCCATCCCAGAGCCAGCCAGCCTTGACATCACATCACCACCTCATCAACCATCTGCTTCCAACTCACTCACCTACCATCCGCGATCTATCTTGCCTTCTGTTTGCATCTTTGACTTTTCTCTGTGTGTCTCTTACCCCACAACCCTTGCTTTCCCCCCACCCTCTCACCGGTGGTCTTTCATCTCTTGCCCCTTCCTCTGCTTCTGGTACTGCGGTCCTCACTGCTCATTTGAGCTTGAAAGCTGAAGCCGAAGCTTTATCTCCCCCTCCCCTTCTAGCCAAAAGACCCTCAGTTCACCAAGGATGCCGGCCGAGAGGCGCTCTCTGAGATCGAACAGCAAGTCGGATACCTCTTCATCTGCTAACGGTGAGAAGGGTCGCTCTACTTCACAGAACACCAGCTCCAACAAGGACCAACCGGCGCCCAATCGCGCCGCTGCCAACAAGGCCAAATCTACCACCGCCTCGAAAGCCGCTTCGTCGAATAGCACAGCAGATTCCGGAATGGGTGAACAGCGGGACCAGCCGCGGACCAACGGCTCCGACCCGACGGAGAACGGCATGAATGGTTCGGAAGATGTTGAGATGGGAGAGGATACGGCAGGTGGGCCTACATCCTCATTCACCGCCAGTAAGGATCGGAAAGGTGACGAGAAGATGACTGTTGTAGTGCCACCGACCAAGGGTTCGAGGTTATCCGGCGAGAAAGCTCCGGACAATGAAGGCGACATCGCCATGGAGGGTGCGGACACCGAGGAGTCCAAGTCAGAGGTTGACCCGAAGGTCAAGGCTGTCCAAGGTGAGTAGACTCTTAAGTCCAAGGGGTTGTGATACCTTGACGACCACTTATGCGATCTACTCTAGATATCAAGTCCAACTTCACATTGCTTGAGCGAGCTGTCAGCCACTTCGACCCCAGATTCACTCTCCGCGTTTTGCGTTCGATATCGTCCATGCGCAAGCACATCACACCAGATGTGCTGGCAGAAGTCATCGTCGAGAACTACCCGTCCTCCAACCTGACTGCTTCTTTCCTGTTGGGCGCCATCGATCAAACTGGCGCTTTTGACAGTGCTGTCGCCAGCTCCAAGATGGACATCGAATCGGAGAAGACTAAGTCGACCCCTAAGGAAATCCTGCCCGAGATCGACACTTATCTCTCCATTCTTGTTCAGATCTATCTGTACGACAAGAAGGAATTCCAGAAGGGCGCCAAGTTCTCCACAGAACTGACCGAGCAGCTGCGGGCGCTCAACCGCCGCACTCTTGATTCTCTGGCGGCCCGAGTCTATTTCTACTATTCTCTCTTCTACGAACAGATTGCGCCCCTTCCTCCGTCGCCCGCTGCATCTGTCACATCGATTCGCCAGCCTCTGCTCAACGCGCTGCGAACGGCTGTCCTGCGCAAAGATGTGGATACCCAGGCGACCGTGATGACCCTGCTTCTGCGGAACTACCTGTCGACCTCCCATATCTCGCAGGCGGACTTGCTGATCTCGCACAACCGGTTCCCCGCGTCTGCCTCGAACAACCAGATTGCCCGGTACCTGTACTATTTGGGCCGTATCCGGGCCATTCAGCTGCAGTACACGGACGCCCACGGGCATTTGATTGGCGCTACCCGGAAGTCTCCGTCCAGCCACAGTGCACGCGGTTTCTACCAGGCATCCCATAAGCTGCTCGTTGTCGTCGAGCTGCTCATGGGTGATATTCCCGACCGGGCGATTTTCCGTCAGCCTGCGTTGGAGCGTGCCCTGCACCCGTACTTCCTACTGGTGCAGGCTGTGAGCGTCGGTGATCTGGATGGATTCCTGAACATTGTAAATACCTACACTGCAACCTTCCGCAAGGATGGTACATACACCCTCATCCTGCGTTTGAGACAGAACGTGATCAAGACGGGCATTCGCATGATGTCACTGTCCTACTCTCGCATCTCACTTCGGGACATCTGCCTTCGCCTTGGCCTGGACAGCGAGGAGTCGGCTGAGTACATCGTGGCCAAGGCGATTCGTGATGGGGTGATCGAAGCCAGTTTGGACCATGAGCGTGGCTTCATGAAGAGCAAGGAGGTCGGTGACATCTATGCTACTCGGGAGCCAGGTGAGGTCTTCCACGAGCGTATTAGAGCCTGCTTGAGTCTTCACGATGAGAGCGTTAAGGTGAGTTCAAATCGCACGTCCTGCTAATCATACTTGTGCTCACCATCTCAATTCTAGGCCATGCGTTTCCCCATGAACCAGCATCGATTGGAGTTGAAGAGTGCACAGGAAGCACGGGAACGGGAGCGGGAGTTGGCCAAGGAGATTCAAGAGGGAGACATGGATGATGAAGACGCCGGCGGCGACTTTGATGCTATCTAAGGGATTATCTTATGGAGCGTCAATAACATGCAGCAGGTTTCTGGCTTCGTTCCTTCCATAATTCTTTGCCGATCCCCGACCGGTTGGACGGGGAGGCCTTCAACAATCATGTGTTCTTATCTGCAAATTCCATGTTCCGGGATGTGTTTGAGGGGAATTGGCAGGATTGAGCTTTTGCCGGCGTGATCTTCCATGTTTCTCATCTATTATTGAATCATTTTTCCTATGTTGTTTGCGGTGTAGATGCTGTTTCCCCCGCCTACTCGTCTGTTCCATTCTTTTCCTTTTGACTTCCGAGTTAGGTGTTGGAGGTGATGATGCAACCGGGGGAGCCTCTTCGTTTTGTAATCTTCATCATAGCCGACTTAGACCAGCCAATTTCCTTGTGAGAGATGTGGCATTGCTTATCAAAGGCGGTCGAGCATTGGTAGGTAGGTATGCACCAGTATGCACCAGTATACACCAGTATGCACCAGGGAAGGTATGAGGCCAGCCATTGATGATGAGTGACGGGCCAGGCGGAACCCCGATCCGGCCCGAGGTCTGTTCCACTGCAGGCACTGCAAGCCCAGCTCAGTGACCGCCCGATTCCCTCTCTCGAATTCTTCGGCTTCAATTAATCTATTGATTATTCCCAACCTTTTCTCCCCCCCCAACAGTCATTGCCGGATCTGGACCGGTTTCCAATCGTTGTTTGCTCCTTGGGTATGACTATCTTTTAGATTCTGATTCGGTGTACTCGCCTCGATTCTCCACCTCTTTCCATCATGAAAGCTCGCACAGTCCCAGCCGCCGGGCTAGTACTATCGTCTCGCATCACGACGCCGTCGACAACAACGACAGTTTGCTGGCAATGCCTCCGAAATGATCTCCTCTCTCTCCAGACGCAAGTGCAAACCCGCAAATATCATCCCACCCGCCGTCGAGATGTCTCTCCATTCGGGGCGGCCGTGTCGGCGGCCCAGACACTTTTCAAAGGCCTCCCCAAGGCGCCGCCGGGCATTTCGGTCGACCCATTGCGCATGGTCGGCAAGGAGCTCAAGTTCCTGACCAAGAACCTTCGTCAATTGCTTGGGTCTGGCCACCCGACGCTGGACAAGGTGGCTAAATACTACACGCGCAGCGAGGGCAAACACATGCGGCCGCTGCTTGTTTTGCTCATGTCACAAGCGACAGCGCTGTGCCCACGCAAACCCCAGACGGTCGACTACAACGCGACGGTCAATGATCCGATTACCTCCTCCTCCATTTTGGTCGACAACAACCCAGACCTCCCCCCTTCGCTGTCCTCCGCGACCTCCAGCAGTAACCCTGATGCGGCCTACGACTTTGCTGGCGATGAAAATATTCTCCCTACACAGCGCCGACTCGCGGAGATCACCGAGTTGATTCATACCGCATCTCTACTGCACGACGATGTCATCGATAATGCTGTGTCGCGCCGCTCCTTCACCTCGGCTAACTTGCAGTTCGGAAACAAGATGGCTGTGCTGGCGGGTGACTTCATGCTGGGTCGGGCCTCGGTGGCTCTGGCCCGGCTGCGAGACCCCGAGGTCATCGAGCTGATGTCGACCGTGATCACCAACCTCGTGGAGGGCGAATTCATGCAGCTGAAGAACACAGCCGCGGACGAGAAGAAGCCCGTCTTCACGGACGAGACCCTCTCCTACTACCTGCAGAAGACGTACCTCAAGACCGGCAGTCTGATCAGTAAGTCTTGCCGGTCGACCGCGGTGCTGGGCAATAGTGTTCCTGCGGTTGTCGAATCCGCCTACCAATACGGGCGCAATCTGGGACTGGCGTTCCAGCTGGTGGACGATATGTTGGATTACACGGTCACCGAGGCCGAGCTGGGTAAGCCCGCCGGTGCGGACTTGGAGCTGGGCCTGGCCACAGCCCCACTATTGTATGCGTGGAAGCAGTTTCCTGAATTAGGCCCGCTGGTTGGCCGTAAATTCAGCCAGGCCGGTGACGTTCAGATGGTAAATAAGATCCCTTCAGCCCATTGAGCATCCATTAACATTGACTGACACTCACAGGCTCGCGAACTTGTCCAAAAGGCTGGCGGCGTGGAACAAACCCGCGTTCTGGCC